TTTGAGAAGAATTGATATTAAATCTTCTCTAAATTTCTTGTAGAATTCAGCTGTGACTCCATCAGGACCTGGGCTTTTCTTCGTGGGTAAGTTTTTTTTATTACATTTTCAGTTTTGCTGGCTGATATAGAGTTATTCAAGATTTTTATATCTTCTTGATTCAGCTTTGGTAATTCATATGTATCTAGGAATCTGTCCTTGTCCTCTGTGTTTTCCATCCTATGAGAGTAAAGATTTTCAAGTAGGTATTGATGCTATTCTGAATTTCTACAGGATCTGTAGTGATTTCATCCTTTTCATTCCTTACTGTATGAATTTCAGCTTTTTCCTTTCCTTTGTGTGATAAGGTTGGCTAGGGGGTTTATCAATTTTATTTATTCTGTTAAAGAACCATCTCTTTGACTCTTTGTATTCTTTGTATTGTTTTCTTAATCTCAGTTGCATTAATTTCTGAGAGAGCGATTAAATTTTGAGAGCTGTTTACCATGGGATGTGCTAAAAGGGCTTTTAATCTTGTTTAGAATATAATATCACAATCTAGTATAAAGATGTTGAAAACAGCACTTAGGGAAATATTTTCAATGCCCAAGCACGTGTGATTACAAATAACAGCAAAAATATTCATATGTGCATTGATACAGGGGCTTTATAAAGTTAAGTCTAGCTCCATGCCAAGGCTCCCATGCCACAGGCCTTAGGGCTTTTAAATGACGGTCACCTTCCCTGCAGCAATTTCTTCTCCTAGCCACACAAAGCAAATACCACCAGAACCAAGCGCAGATTTGCTGTGGAACTCTGAAAATGTTGACGCGGCTGCTCTGTCACTACTATGCATGTTCCTCTCAGCTAACACACTACTCTTTCTACACCCCAGTTCATTTCTCAACTTGTCATATGAAAAATGCTGAAAAAAATGTTCAACATCTCTGGCTGTCAGAGAAATGCAAATTAAAACAACACTCACATTCCATCTTACACCAGAAATAACAGCCATCATTAAGAGATTAGTTGGGAGGCTGAGGCAGGAGGATTTTTGTGAGTTTGAGGCCAGCCTGGGCTACATAGCAAGACCCTGTCTCAACAAAAAAAAAAAAAAAGAAAGAAAGAAAGGAAATCAAATATTAACAAATGCTGAAGGGGCTGCAGGGTAACAGGAACCCTTCTGCACTGTTGGTGGGAGTGTAAACCAGTGCAACCATGATGGAAATCTGTATGGAGATGCCTCGGAACACTAACACTTGAATTCCATTTGACCCCCTGCTAGGAATCTTCCCGAAAGAGTCAAAGACATCAGATCACAGTGATCCACGCACACCCGTGTGTTCACAGCAGCACAGCTCCTCACACCTGAAGCTTGGGGCAGCCTCTGCGTCCGGCAGCAGATCAGTGGATGAAGAAGCTGAGGTGTTTACATGCAGTGGAGCTACTCTGCCACAGAGAGGGATACACTGAGTCCTTCACAGGGAAGCGGGTGCACCTTGAGACTGTGATGTTAAGAGAAATAAATCAGACACCCAAGCCTCAATAGTGCATCATTTCTCTTATACAAGAAACTCAAAGTATAAGTAAATTAAAGAGCAAAATAAAAGACGGATCTAGGAGGCAGGGAGACGGATCTTCTACAAACGGGAAGGGGATCTAGAGATAAAGCGAGGGCAGAGGAGAGTAAGAAGAATGGAGGTGCAGTGTTGGTGTGCAGGCATCATACTGCATGCACAGAATAACAGAAAACTTTCAAAGACGGTGCTGAGATATCGAGTATGAACAAGTACTCCAGCCAGTGTGGTTCACGTCTCTGGAAAGGCAAACCTCCTGTATAAAACCCTACACGGAGAGACTACGCCATACAGTGCATTCCGTGCATTAGCGATTTACGGGAGGAGAGCTGGCTTCCTGTGAGCCTTTAACATTAGCTGCATCAGTTCCTCTTGCTGCTGTACAATCCAAGCGGCTTCAAACAGCAGATGCTTTTTATCCAACAATCCTGGGGGTCAGAAGTCTGAACCAGGAGTCCTGGGCTAAGAATGACAGGGCTGGGTTCCTTCCTCGGGGTTCTCAGGGGACCCCATTTCCTGGGTTCCGCACCCCACTTCTGAGGTTGCACACATCCCTGGCTCGTGGCCCTATCCATCTGAGAAGCCAGCAACGGCCACTGTCTTCCATGGCATCCAAGGTCAGCTCCTCTGCCCCCTCTTCTATGGTTACACTGGGGCCTCCTGCATGACCCCAGTGTTGAGGGTCACCAGCTGATCGACTGCCTTCGCCCTCACACCTTGATGGGGTGAGCTCCCCAGTTCCAGAGAGCAAGGTGGCAACAGCTCTGAGGCCTCATTATTCTGCCCACCGCAGTGTCTGTTTTCCTTTTTCCTCCTTTGTTCATAAACACAACTTTCAAGACGTCCATAGGGCTTTGCAAATTTTCATCAAAATCAGCCAGCCCACAGGATCGTACTACATTTGCTGTCAAAGCAGGAATCCAGTCCAGTGAAGCAATTCATGCTATTTCTTCCTCAGAATCAATCACGTAAGGAGCGGTGCCCCAGGAGGAGCGAGACCCCACTGCCCGAAGACCTTGCCAGTTTTCCTAAACACCAAGCCCAGGACAGCTGGAGTTTCCCTGCTTTCCCTGAGATGTCGCCGCTCATTTTACCACAGTAGTTTCGTAGTATATTTTCAAGTCAAGGACTGTGATACCTCCTGCCTTTCCTCTGTTGCCCAGGATTGCTTTTGCTATTCTAGGCCTCTTCTGGTTCCAGATGAATTTTAGGAATGTCGCTTGCTCCTCACCATCTTCCGCCCCCTTCCTGGACCCCGACACTTACACTGCCACGCCTGTCGGAGCCGTGTGTGTTCAGGGGCCACTGCAAGCCGGCATTTTTCTTCTACTAACCTTGCGTTGCTGGCATCCCAGAGGCCCCTCCCCACTCCCACGGGGTGAGTCCTTCCCCAGCTCCACCTCTAGGGCCTCCCAGCTAATTCCAGGACACCAGGCCACTCAGCATCACCTCTTCTGCTCTGCTTCTTAACCCCCACCAGCCCCTTCCCAGCCGGCTCCAGGTGGACGCCCAACACCTCCTGCTCCAAGCATGCGTCTGAGGCTGACCTCGTTACCTGCTGCTTTATAAATATTTGCCCCACCTGAGAATCTCTTCCAAGGTGCCTGCTCCAACTGAAGCATGATTCCAAACTGGAGATGCAAACGCCGAAGACAGAACCACTGCTTTTCACGAACTGAGGCAAATAATCCACCCCCAGGGAACACAGGAGCTGCCATAGCAGGTTCAAATTGGGCCGCGTCCTCGCAGGGTAGCAGCAGGCAGCTTCGGCATCCTGTGAGGCTCCGTTTGCCTCTCTCCACATCTAGCCTGCCAGCGAGTTCTGTGTCTTCCTGTCCTTCCGTAACTCTTGGGTCCGTTCTCTTCTCTGTGGTCGCACTACCTACTTCCGATTCTCAACACCTACTTCCTGAACAAGTCACTGTCTTTGAAAGGTCTAACGTGCCTTACTTCTATCTGCCTCTGAAGCCCACATTTCTCACTTAAGGAGCATTGTCAATATGTTTATTAAAGTGTTTTTGCAAGCAAAGAAAATAGTTTTCTTAGTCTTCCGTGGTCTGACTTCTGTAGGTCTAGTCATCATCTTTCACCACAACCCCACATAATTTATATTTTGATTTATTTTCCTATTCTTCTACCTCTCTAGTGGAAAGCAAGCTGCTTGAAGGCAATAATAATAATATTATTATAATAATAATCTTATTTGATTGTATCTTGACCTGGACACACAGAATGCACCCCATTGAGTGTTCATATAAAAACAGAACTGGCTAGCCATGCGTATCTGGTAGGCAGCATCCTTGGAAGGTCCTGTAAGAGCCCCGAGGCCAGTGACCGCCCTAGGGGCCACTCTGAATTGCACCGAATTATACGCAGCCCTGTAGGGTCCCTGGTCTGCTGCCCTTCATTCCTTGGGGCCTGCATCTCCCACCCTTGAGTTCAGAAAGAGTCGTCCAGGACTCCCATGACCACTTCTTCAACTGCCACCACTGGAAACAGTCTTTCCCCAGTGTAAACAACAGAAACAAAACCCGTCTTGCTGTGCGCTCAGGGAAGCGGCTGGAAATATGGTCGTGAGTGGTAATTTATCCTCAGTAGGATTTCCATGTTCATCTAGCAGTGTCACGTTACACACTGGGTATGCTGTACACTTACTTAGGGGGTTAGTGCGGTTTTCTGTAAAGGGAAGCCGGTTGGCTTCTGAGGAACCCACACATCTGTCATCACTACTCGACTCTCCCATTGTAGAATAAAAGCAAGCATAAATAATGAATATGAAAAATGCATGGCTGTGTTCCAATAAAACTTTATGTATAGAAGCAGGCAGTGGGCCAGATGTGGGCCATGGGTAGTAGCTTTTCAACTGCAGATTTTACTTCTAAAATGAGTGAAATCAAATATAGAAGTACAGATCCCAGTAATGCGAAACATAGATTTCGCAAAGTTCAGTGAAAACAAAGTTAGCAGTCATTTAACAATGCAGAAAGTGGCAAATCAGTAGCTTTCTCTGTACTCTTAACCTTTAGACTGTGTGCTCAGTTTTTAAGGCAAGAAGCAAAATTAAGGGCCAGGGATGCGGTAGTAGAAGCATTTGGCAGACACTCTGTGGAAGACAAAGTGTAATGGGGTATACGCGCGTGCTTGCTACAGCTCTTTACCCAGAGAACTGATTCTATAACATGCAAATTTGATTTGCACGGAGGAAACTTGCGTAGTCTTTTCAGGAGGAGTTTTCAACCCACACAGAAGAACTGTGCCCAGCCACTGGTGAGAGGTCACAGCGCATTTCCACAGTGCACACAGCTGGCAAAACAGAGTAGAAACCAATGTATTCCCCTGCCCAGAAACACAGCTGGACCAAGGCTGCACATTAGGATACACTGTTTTAAATGATCATCAGAACCAAGAGGGCCAGACTCCTAAGTCGTTAAAGTTTTCGGTTACCTTGACCCTGGACGATGGTGCAGAAATAAACCACTGCCAGAAAAGCCGGGATCAGCCAGTACCGCATCTTGCCCTGCAGAATCTTCATGTTATTTTCTGGCTTTCACATGGGGTGGAGCAGCTGTCTGGAAAGAGAGCACAGGAACGTTTTGGAGAAGAGTGGAAATAAGAAAATGCAGCCCATCTAGGACAAGCAAAGCCTGTCCAACATGGGTTAGCGTCGGCAGGAAGGAACCAACCCCCCGGAGCACCACGAACATCACTGGAAAATGCAAACTGATGAGAGAGGGATGTTGTAAGGGTGTCGTAAGCAGAGAGGATCGTTTGGAGTATTTGGAAGAGAAGATCAGGCTGTCTTCTGCACGTCTTCTGTGAGGGTATAAATTGCACTCTGAGGTTCTTGGAAGGATAAATTCCCTAAATTTATCTAAAATTCCCTAAATTTATCTGAAATGAGCATTCTCAAGGATCTCAAGATCCTTGAGAATGAACCCCTCCCGGTCCTGTGCACCTCATGCTCCTCACATAGTGTTAGAATCCTGCCCCTCACCCCACAGAGTACGGACGCAGAGAACCTTTCCACTCATGATCAAAGAGCATTCGCAAGCCCACGTTATGCCAATATGCAATCACTGCAACCCAACTTTGTTGGGTTGAACACACACGAATCCTTTCATCTGTTCTCGTAGCTCTTTATTTTTTAACATGTGTGAATCTGAAACTTTTCCGCTTTTTTTTTTTTCATTAGACTAGCAATGAATGAAGAGCACCAAAAAAGAGAGAAAGAAAAACAGACAAGGAAAGAAAGAAAAAGGAAAGGAGAGGAGGGAGAAAGGAAAGGAAGCAGAGAAAGAAAGGGGCAGAAAGATCCAGTATTTGATTTTTTTTTTTTTTTTTGAGACTCCATCTTGCTATATAGTTCAGGCTGTTCTTGAACTCACCATGATCCTCCTGCCTCAGCCTCCTCAGTGCTGAGATTATAGGCATGTACCACTGTGCCTGGCCCATTTGGTATTAAATTAAGAAACCAGTCTATAAACTACAATTCTTTCCAGGTCATTTCAGGGAACAAATTCTGAGTTATTTCCTTAAAGATTAAGAAGACACCTGGCAAGTTTTTCTCTCACCACAAGTATATTTTCATTCGAATATCCATTCAATTATTTGCTCATGCATTTACTCCCCAACATTGTTCAACAAAGAACCTAGGGTGGTTGAATAACATAGAAATGTAATGGATAAGGTAGAAATGCTATAATGAACAAAATAAAGGACTCCGCTTAAGTTTTAAGACAAACAGCCAACAATTTTTCAGTATAAGTATGTTCCATGCAATATCTAAAACAAACATATAACTCTCCGCTCCTCTGAAATTAAAATGTGACTGACTATCCTGCATTTTACTGGCAGCCCCAATAGAAGGGGGAATTAAGTAGGAAAATAAGAATGAATAAAATGAGCAGAGAAAATGTCTCGGGTACTGTATTTGGCCCTACACTTACGAAGAAAAGGCCAAAGAGAAAAGGACCATGCTACGTTTTAAGGCTCACTGTACCACTCAATTAAATTTTAAGACATATTTTTTCTGCAGACACACAGATTTTCCTGATACCAAAAGCTGAGTAGACTTTTCCCCACAGTTCATCCAAAAAAAGGTCACTGTGTTTTACTCACAGTAAAACGGATTGATCCCGTGGTATCTGTGAGTCCTGGATTGATTCTGCCACCTGCACCGTTACTGAGAACTTAGCTGTCCAAGTCATGTAGCTCATGAACTCGACAGCCAGGCTATTAACACACACACAGCCTCAGCCAGACTGCACAGCATCTCAGGAAAACATCTCCGCAACGCCACCCTTCATCGGACTCTCTGTCCTTTTTAAAATATATTTTCTTGCTCTGCTTACAAAAGTTGTTAAGTTTTAATACACGAAAGCAAGACAAAGAGTACAAACATTTTGTTATTTTTTCCTTGTAGAAGTATGATAATGGTAAATGTCCTTTTATACTATAGTTGGCAGGATCATAACTTCTGTATTTGGAAATGTAGGTTGTTGTCATATGTCCCTAACATATATAACACTGCAGTGAACATCTTTACTCACTGCTCCTGGGGTATCTGGTTAGTGATTTATTTGGGCTACATTCCTAGTGGTGGAAACTGCTAGGAAAAAAAATATGTTTTTAAAAAGCTTTTAAAAGATATGTGCACAATGCTTTATGGAAGATTATACTGATATCCACACCCACCAGCCCAAGTACCTCATATACTTCACCACCACAAGGGCTGATTATTTTCAACATATTCTGATTTGTTCAGCAAAAATGTGGTTATGACTATATCATCTTATTTTCCTAAGCAGTAAACTATAACATTTACTGTTTGTTGGCTATTTACACTTTTAATAAAATATCTGTTCATTGCCTTTATTATTTTCTTATTGAGTAACAAGAAACCTCGTCATGTGGCTAATTTTTAAAAGACACCACCATGGAGTCTTCTCAAAAACATTCGCCCTCACTGCAAACACACTTATCCCATTGTTCTTGACACTTTCTGAAGCAGTTCTGGAAATCTTCTTTCATAGTGTCTTTAGTCACACTGTCCTGGCTGCCACAATGTGCTGGATTCATTCAAACCATTTACCTTTCAAGAGCATTTTGACTTTGAGGAAAAGCCAGAAGTTGTACCAGGCCAGGTCTGGTCAATAAGGTAGATAAGAATACACTGTTGGGGCTGGGGATATAGCTCAGTAGCGTAAGTGCCTGCCTGGCAAGCCCAAGGTCATGAGTTCGATCCCCAGTACTGCAAAAAGGAAAAAAAAAAAAAAAAAGAATACACTGTCATATTTTTTTGTTTTGCTTTCTTTTATTGTGGTTTTTCTTTGGGAGGAATACTACCTTCTGTTTAATCACTGGATTTCAGTTTTTACAAATAATCTTAGGACAGGGGGGCTGACTAAAGTTTTAGGGAGCAGCAGTTGTTGCACACAAAGAACAATTATGTTCTCCATTTTTCTGTAAATAACTGTTGCCAGAAGCAACACACATTTTCACAGACACACAAAAACTGTGTAAAGCCATAGATCACTGCATCTATATTTACAAGAAGCCATAAACAAACATGCATTTCTCCTTTTTCAGGATGATTTAAACAGATGTCTGAACATTAAGGCAGTGACAATTCTAAAACAATGACAATCTAAGTTAAGACTTTATGTTTGAGACCCATGTTTGTAGGCAACTGTGGTCAAAGCACACTTATCTAACAGGTTGAATTCATCTGTCCGCCTAGGTGTTATCGATCCATTCATTACCAGTTCTTTTGTATCAGATGGAGTTCCGTTTTTATGAGCCTGATTTTTCCCTTGGATTGCACTGGGCAGCAGCATTCACTGTATCTTCTGTCACACTTTGTAAAGGCACTCATGAAAGAGGACTTCCAGAACTGCTGCAGAAAGTGGAAGAAAAGTGGGCTGGCTGAATTTAAGTGAAGGGAGGATTCTAAGGAAGATCAATAGCAGTGTCTCAATGCAACTAATGCTTCTATTTAAACACACACTATATTTTTTGATCAGCCCTTGGATATGTTAAATTATTTTTCCAGCTCACCAAAGGCAAACCCAGGAGGCAATGAGATGCAAAAATTTGAAAGACACCCACTTGGACTTTCTGAAGTGGTAACAGCAGAAGTAACAAAACAGATGAGTGAGGCTCCAGAAAAATATCAAATCAGAAATAATTTTTCAGATAACTACAGAGATGGTAACCATAATGAAAGACTTGTTTAGTGACTCTAGAACAGATTGAAATTTTTAAAAAGAGGAGCTTAGGCAAATTATGAAAACCATGAATGCCCAATACAGGAAAGAAATGGAATCCACGAAACAGATCCAAAGAGAAATCCAGAAGGTTAAAATTTCCACTGAAAGTATATGCAGCAAAATGAGCCAGTGTGAGAACAGAATCATAGATACAAAAGATGGGATTGTGGTTATCAATCATAAAAACAAAGATTTCTTAAAAATAACAAGGGACCACAAAAAAATCAATAAACAGTTGCTAGGTAATGACAAGAAGAATAATATAAGATTGATTAGAGTCAATGAAAAAGCAAGAGATGGTGCAAATGACATAAAACTCCTGTTCACAGATGTCATGGCAGAAAACTTCCCAAGCAAGGAAAAAGAATTTGACCTACACATAAGCAGGGCATACAGAGCTCCAATTAGCCATGATGAAATTTTTTTTAAAAAACTACACCAAGGCATATATCAAAAGGCATATTCTACACCAAAGCATATAATAGTTAATATTCCAGAAATTTAACACAAAAACAGAATATTAAAAGCTGTTAGAGAAAAGAAACAAGAAACCTATAAAGGAAAGCCAATCAGAATCACAGCAAACTCTCAACACAAACCCTCAAGTTAAAGAGAGCTTGGAGAATTCCAAGCACTAAAAGAAAACAGCCTCTAACCAGATTGATGTAACCTGCAAAACTATCTTCAATGACAATGGTCTCAATTCACCAATCAAATGAAACAGACTGGCAGAATGGATCAAGAAGCAAGATCCAACAACATACTACACACAAAACAACATATTTAATTCAAAAGGAAATTCAAAGGCTGAAAGTCAAAGGATGGAAAATAATACTTCAGGCAATAGGAACCCAGAAAAAAAGCAGTGGTAGCAATTCTATTTGCAGGCAAAGGAGATTTCAAGCTAAAGCTGACTAAGAGAGATGAAGAATGTCATTATATCCTTGTAAAGGGAATAATTCAAGAGGAAGAGATGGTGATCATAAATATATATGCACCAAATACCAGCATACCCAACTATATAAAACAAATATTAATGAATATGAAAAAGCAAGTAAGCATTAATACAATTGTAATGGAGGACCTCAGTACCCTACTGTCACAAACAGATAGATCAACTGGGCAAAAAATCCACAAAGAAATATCATAACTGAACCAGACTTTTCAACAAATGGACCTAATAGGTGCCTCTACAGTGCTCCACCCCACATGAGAATACATATTCTTCTCAGCTCCGGTATAGAACACATAGTAGTTCATAGAACATGCTGAAGTAAATGCAAAGGAATTGAAATTATCTC